CTCCCCCAAATCCATGACTTTCATGTATTTTGTCATACCTTCCTTTATCTCTTGCACTAGACGCAATGATGATGCTGTGATGATGCAGTCGTCAACATGGACAGCAATGATAGTTAAGTTTCGGCCCTCCTGCTTGTAAAACATGGCTTGATCAACGTCGCACTGCTTGAATCCCAGCTGCACCACCAAAATCTCAACAAGACGTTGATACCAGCAATGACCACTCTGCTTCAAACTATACAGAGTCTTTATGAGATGGCAGACTTGACCAGGATGAGAGTCAGGCTCAGGATAGCTAGGAGGTTGATGCATGTAAATGATTTCTTCGTTGGTGAGCTTTCCATTCAAGTATGCGCCCTTGATATCAACTTGATGGAGCTCTAGGTCGAATGCCGCAGCCATAGCAAGGATTGAACAGATAGATGCAAGCCTTGCAACAGGGGCATAAGTGTTGAAGTAGTCGATGCCAGGTACTTGTGAGAACTCTTGTGCTACCAAGCGAGCCTTGAACTTGACTATGCCTCCCTCAGCATCCTTCTTGATTCGAAAGACCCACTTTGAGCCCACGACATTTGCTCCAACTGGTTTTTTGACAATTTTCCAAGTCCCTGCAGTCTTCAACGTCACAAGCTCTTTCTGTATTGCACCTTTCCACAAAGGCCAATCAGACTGACGCTTCGCTTCAGCTAGACTGCATGGCTCTAAGGCTTCTGCATCGGCTGTTGAAATGGCCATGACATACTCCTCAAGGAAGTCAGCATCCTCAAGTATCATCAATCAATCTGCCTCTCCTTCTCCCTCAAACTCGAGAGGTTTATTGTTTTCATTGGCAACTGGTAACTGAACACCAACAGGTACCACAGGATTGCTTGGGCATGCCAATACACTGCCTTTGCCGGAGATGAGGTCCAGCACCCACTGGCTAGGCTTTTGAGTGCATCCAGAACGGGTTTCTTCAACTATAGGTTGGACTGTAGGCTGGGCTTCGGAGGTAGGTGACACCTGTGATAGTTTTGCAGTAGGTGAATTGGGCTGAGTTTTTGGCATTGACAGAATCTTGTGTAGCTCAATGTCTTCCTCCCCTTCAAGATCATCAGTGGCAATATGAGTTGTGTCGAAATAGACATTTCACTCAATAGACACTGTCTTGCTCTCTGTCCGGTAGACATGAGATCCATTGCTTGTTTCATCGAATCCAATCCACCGACCTTCACATACGCGGCTACCCAGCTTCATAGCCTTAGTCTCAAGGCATACCCAGCATTTCTCTCTCCATTCCCACAACTCTTTTAGATCTGGCTTCTTCCCTGTGACAGCTTCATAAGGAGTCATTCCATCTAGAGCCTTTGTCAACATTCTGTTGAGGACCCAGACAGCATGGTGAACAGCCTCAGCCCATAGGAAGCAAGGTAAGCTGCTTGAATGCAGCATAGCTCTGACTTTTTCGATAACTGTGCGATTATACCTTTCAGCCACCCCATTGTGCTGTGGCATATCATGTACAGTCATCTTCATTGTCATGCCAGCATTTTTCAGATACAAGATAAATACTTTGTTGAAGTATTCACCTCCATGGTCTGAATGGAGGATTTTCACAGGGTGGTCATGCTGAGTGCGGATGCGAGCTTCATAGGCTTTGTACGCTGTGAAAGCTTCACTCTTCTGGTGTAAGAATTCAAGGTAAGCCCAATGAGTGCTGTCATCAATGAAAGAGATGAAATAACAGTGTTTACACAGGGATTCTACAGGTGCAGGTCCCTATAAATCAGAGTGAATTTCACCTCCAATATCGGTTGCACATTCTCTCCCTCGAGCCTTAGACACTGGCTTTCGTGTAGCTTTAGCATAGACACATGACTTGCAGAACCATGGTTCTCCAGATGACTTGTCGAGCTTTACTCTGGTCATGAAGCCTTTTTCAACCAGATGACAAGCAACTTCAGGTGAAATGTGGCCCATGCGGTGGTGCAATTGGTCTAGAGTAAGCACCTCCTCAGCTGTCCCAGCCAAATCTCCCTCATGATGAACCCGATATAGGCCACCATCATCTTTTGGGACAACCCCAACAACCTTTCCATCTGGTGCATGGATGGTGCATTTTCCGCCACCGAAAGTCAACTCGAAACCAAGATTGTCAAGTCGGCCAACTGAAATGAGTGTATAGCCAACTTCGGGAGAGTACATAACCTCGGTGAGTTGCAGATTGCTCGCATTTGCACCATTTGGCACATCAATGCTCATCACACCCTTTCCAGCTGCAGAAAATTTTTGAGTGTTCGCAGCACGGAATGCCTTGGGCAGGACAGACTGGAATGAGTTGAAATTGTCGCGGTAAGGGGAAATATGGCATGTACAGCTGGAGTCGTAGAGTTCAGTATGAATTTGAACATCGGGTGAGTTTACAGTGTTGGTAATGGCTGCGACTGACTCTTCAGAAGCAGATACATCCTCCAAGGTCAGCATGCCAGATGTGGCATCCAATTGCTTGTCAACAAAGGAGTTCACATCACTCCAGTCAACATCTGAGGACAACACACTGCTCAGCTCATCCCATGACTCATCACCAACCTCCGAAAAAAGGTCGGTACCATCGTCCTCATCCCCCAAGTCCTCTGATAAGCCCTCAACTTCAGACTCGTCTGACTCAGAAACTGCAGCCAGCGATGGCATGTCGCTAGCATCATCAACTCCGAATGCACCACCGGCTTCCCAGTCCGAATCCGACGATTCCTCAGCCACATTGGCTATTTCACCCTTCGATCCAGAGGCCTTGCTGTCATTGTCTGACGACTTCTTCTCGGGGCATTTGTTTTTGAAGTGTCCTTCTTTCCCACATCCCCAGCACAATTTCTTGCCAGGTTTCTTGCCCTTCTTATTGCCACCTGAGCTTGATGAAACAGACATGGCTTCATCTTGCTCCGAGTCCTTTCCCTTTCCAGACTGCCGACTATGCTTGGCTCACTCGCGCTCCAGTCGGTTGTATTCCTCAGAAATGGCATGGATCAGGTTCTCGGGATCAACTTCCTTGTTGGAACTAAAAAGCTTTGCCGCCATAAGGAGAGTCAATGCATGCTTGGCAAGATAGGAAGGGATAGAGGTGAGAATCGTTGAGCGGTAATCCTTCTCCTCGATGATGACACCGATGGAAGCTAATGACTCCCGTTTCATTGACAGACTGTCAAGAAACTCGTGAACATTGCCTTTGGCCAGGCAATGCGACTCCATAAACTGCTGCCGAAGGTCGGTTTGTGCATAGCCGCTCTTATCAGTAAACTCTTTTTCAATCTTTGACCAGGCTACAGCAACTGTGGGAAGACGCTGAATCTTCATAGCGACTGAGTCAGGGATCTTCGAGAGCAGGAGGTTCTTGGCTACAGCCTCATCTTTCTCCCATTCATCTAGCTCAGCCATGAGAGCTGTTGTGGGTGCAGTGAGAGAGGGTTTGGGCTTGGATCCATCGAAGTGATCCCATTTCCCTTTGGCTTGAACACCAGTGGAAAAGCGGAGGTAGAAGATGGACCAGTTGTCACCAGACGTGTTCAGTGTGGGGACGTTTGATGGTAGGCCTGTAGTCAAGGCAGCAATGGCGGAAGTCATTTGAGTATGAAGGATGGGATAGAGTAATTCTCGGGGCCGTATAACCTCTAAGAAAGTGACGCGCGTTTGTAGCACCTAATAGAGTATGCTGTTAGCTATAACGTAGACCTCACACAGCATAGCGATAAGCAGAAACGCGGTGAGGGTGCTCGACAGACCGTATTCAATATATATAGTCCATCCCGACATAAAGGGGTATCGAGCTTGGCCGGCGGGATACGACGGAGCTCCTGCTTGCTAATCCAACAAGAGGTACATATGACTACTACTTACCTGAGTACGACGGTCAATTGCTTAAAGGCAATTGACCGTCGACTCAGGACAAAACTGTCTATGCTTATATAAGGTTGACATCAGGTACTTGTGTCGTCCCGCAACAAGAACGGCAGATGCAGGAGGAGAATTTCAGAGAATGAGAGTCGTCGACTAAGAAATCAAGGATGCAGTCGATTAGCTCTTGAAGCAGCTAGTCAAAGGGGGCCATCTATGAGAAAATAAGTCCCTCCACAGGAATGACACGGCATATAAAATACTTCGATACCAGGTCTTGACGATGGACGAGACGAGGAGAGTTATGACTTGTATGATTACAAATAAGAGAGCATTAACGAGGGGACGCTTTCTCGTGTAGGTATGAACAGCCTTGCCGATCTCAATGGGCAGAGAATGCAGCCGCTCGGGACGCGGTAAGTCCTTGTGGGCCCTGTTCAGAGTCGCATGGGCAAACCAAGCTGTTCTTCATAGTTTGAGCTGCGCGTCATACCATCAAATCCCCTACAAATGGGGGCTACGCCTTGTATCCTAGTCAGAAATGGACCAAGAAGGGAACAATACAGATGCTGACATAGCACTTCATCCTGAGTACAGCCTGAAGCAGAAAATTCGGGAAGATTCCAAAGTCGGCTCATACAAATCCCAAATTCTGTGAGTCTCTCCATCTCAATTTTGCGTAAGCTTTCCATTGGTAGAAGCTGCCGCCTTCCGGGCTTATGTATGTCATTTTAATTTCTGAGGAGAGCAGGAGAAACCAAGTGCGTTGCTACTACCTGCAATTGAGCAGGTGAAGCACTGGTCAGTTGTCTAGGCCATGATGCTTAAACTGTGTCCGCTGCCAGTACCCAGTCACATTTCGAGCATGCGACGATGATTCTCGCCGAAAGTGTCCTGATTTTACCAAATGTCTTGCATTGACCTCGTCTTATACAGTGGTTGACGTTGGACCATGATGAAGAAGGCTCCAAGAAATGATGGAGGAGAGTCGCTGTTATGATGGTAGGGATCAACACCATAAGCCTGGATTCTTACTATCATCACGACTTGCTACACACCTTCTCAATTTATAACACAAATGCTTTTTCTGTGTATCAGTTAGCAAGAGCAGGAAGAGTAGCGAAACCAATTTTCATTGGTGCGTGACAAAGCATACATACAGTGGAGAATGCTAATTATATTTTATTGTGAGTATCTTAATGGATGGGATGTGCCATCGGATATGTGCAGTGAACTATGAATGGCCTGATATATACTCAAGGTGAGAAATAGTACTAATCTAGGATGGCCACAAAATATGTACTCACTTCAAATAAGAATGTTCCAACACTGTTTAGTAATGCACAGATGCTCCAGCCTCCGTGCTTCTTCATTGACCATTTCAAACACGGACACTTTCTCAAACTTTTTGTCAGACAGTCTTCGCCCGACGATCCAATGTTGCTTCGGAACCAGTTGGAGAGCCTTTGGATCCATACCAAGCAATGTGTACATGTCTTCAGGTATTGGGAACTTGTGGCGTGCAATGATGTCAAATGTATGTTCTGTTCCAATGGCATCTTTAATGATCAACTCGCCACGTCGATCAACCTCTGCCGCACCTCCCACAGCCAAACCTCCCACAAATACCTTTTCAATGCAGTGCCCTTCACACCAGCTATCATTCGTCTCCTCATCCAGGTCCACACTCATCAAGGAGTAGTTATCCACAGGCAGAGGATTCTGCATAACCTGCGCCCATGACGGTCTCCACTTCGTGCCTGTATCTCCTGGTTCAGGATACTGGAAGAACACCAGACCCCGATTCTCCACATCCATTGCATTCACCAATTCCGTCCATGCATCTTCGAGAGATTCGCTCTCTCGGTATGCCGGTATCATCCTGGGGAGCAGAGGGAATGCCAGTCCCATGACTTTGTCCACAGGATTGGTCGACACCCGGTTCTGCATCTTGGACAAGACATTAAACATCCTGGAGATGAGTGCCGGCTGCAGAAACGGATCATAGACAGCGCTGATGGACCGCAGCTGCTTGTGAAACCTAGTCAGTATCTCAGTATCATAGTTCCCATCCTTGTCTATTGGTTTTGCATGCAGCGGTCCATCAGATGTATCCCCGACAATGATCCTCTGCCTGCCAATCTCCTGTAGTGTCCATGCGCGTCTAAACCAACAGCAATCACTATCCAAGTCGCCCTCCTTCAGAGTTAAAGGCCGCCCCAGCCCACTCAGATAGATCATGACTTCAGCGTTCGCATACACACATCCGATAGTGGGCACATCGATCTTCCACTCTTCTGCACGCAGATCGTCCCTTGGCCCGCCCTCCTGTCTCAAACAGAGGACATCCAACCACGTGTATTCCACTCCCAGATTCAGCATCTCGATGCGGATGAGGTCAAGGCTGGCATCTTTTGGGATCGGTACGGGCCATTCCTTCCCATTGATAGGTGTCCAGACGTCGACGCGATCCTTCGCGTCCATCCACGCATGCGATACCGGCAGAACAATCCGTGTACCACTTGGCCACGGGACCATCCATAGAAACGCGTCGCTGCTCCACCATGGCACCACCCGATTAGCGTATAGATCCCAGACCCGTCGAGGTTCCAATTTCGGGTTGACAATCCGGTTACCGACAAGTGCATTCCGTCGCTTCTCCTGGTCCCGAGCTTCGCGTGTACGTATCTCATCTTGGATGGTGTTCCGGCGTTTGATGCCCCATACCGCGCGGAGACGGCTATATGCAGTGCCAAAGTCATAGTCACTCTTGACGCAGTCTTCGAGAACAGAAGAGAGAGTCGGTATGTCCAGGGTGTATGACGTTCCGAGTGTGGCATTCAGTTCATCCAAGATGCCCTGAACACCGAGAGTAGTGCAGGGTGTGTCAGCAAGGGAGGATGATATAGCAGGTTTTGCCCCAATGTAAGCCCGTTGCAATGGCACTTTGATCGACCATTCGTCTCGGCCCGCCTCAGTATAGGAAGCGAGAAAGGTTCCATAACACTGTGGATGTACAGAAATATGTGTTATACACTTGTGTTCAGTTTGGTTAATTTACTTACCCTCAACATTCTTGCCAGCAAGTGAAATTCATAATCACCAGGACTGGGGAATGCATCGCCAATATGCGTAATATCACCGGCCGGATGGTCGTTAATCATGGCCACAGAAGACCCCAGAATTGATGATTCGGAGAGTCGTTCTGGATGGAAGCTGAAGGACGACTGCGGGATATCCTGCACGATAGGATCGTCATCTTCAGTAGAACTGCTTGCTGGTGTAATATTACCTCTTGGGACTCGGGTGGAGGATGATATTACGGGCTTTCGACCAGTGTAGGATCGTTGTAATGGAACTTTGATCGACGACTGCTGCTGGCCCGTTTCAGTGAAGGCAGAAATGGTGACTACGGGGAAAGTGAGGTCCTGAAAACATGTTAACAGACTCTTCTCTGTTTGTTTGCTAACCGGCTTACCTCCTGGGCCTGAGGGTTTGGGAATACAAAATGAGAATCGCAGCTCAGGAGTTCTGAAGCTGTTTCTGCACTGCTCAAGCCGGGCGGCGAGTGTGTCGTTACCTCCAAGACAGGGCCTTCACCTTCTGCAGTAGAACTGGCATGAGGTATCGCACCTTGAGACTCTGAAGGCGGAATTATGTTGGCATTCTGGTCAGAATCGGATATTGCATCAGGAGATGGAACCTTCATCGATGAATTCGGAAAGACGGAGCGTGAGTGAATCCAAATTGACTTGACACCGCTCAAAAGTAGGCCAATAATTCTCGATAGTACTAATGTCGTCGTACTGAGTACTCCAAACGAAATAGATTAACAATACGTACTATTTCCCAATTTCTAGATTGCAGTCAAAGGATTGCGGAATCAAGGTGTATTTGCAGTGTTGCAACTCGGAGGTTGAATCTATGGGCTGTGCAAAGTATTCGCGTAAACAGCATGCTAGACGCCGTCGGAACCAATAATAGAGAGGATCAGGATTGGTCGATGATGCCTTCAACCATAATCGCTGCTGAACTGTAACCCTCACTAATAATGACATTCCACAGTAAGCCCATATATGAGCGAGGACTTATCATCTATAGTAAGTGTTTTTGTTCCTCGTGGTTGGGCTAAGTCCAGCGCTAATTGAGTTCGTTCTGCGATTGGCCAAGGGCCGTGGGGAGTTTTGCGAGTATGCCATGTGTTCGAGTCTTTTTGGGTGCGCTCTCGTGATGTGGCAGGCATGGCACTACAGTGTCGAGTCAACCTCTTACTTTATGTGCAAGCTGCAAGGATCCTATTTCTGCTCAGTGATCATTTATACCGTCAACCAAAAATCACCGGGGCATCGCACGGGATAAAGGAGCAGATGGTGATATCTTTAATTACCTACATGTGTAAATGTGATGAATCTGACAGCAACTCCGACTAGAGGCTTTCTTCACTGTCGATCTCTTTTGTCATCTTCTTCCTCTTTGTGCCGCCTGTCTTTACTCTTGTATTCTAGTGTCCTCGTGGTACCCGTCACCAATATAATTTCGTACAAGTCACTCTGGAGACTCTTCAAAGATTCATTTCCTCCATCTTCTCTGCTCACACATTTATATCATCCTGCATGTTACAGCCTCTAGGAATACCGATATCTGCAACATGGACATCCTGTCACTCCTTCGCAAAGGATCATGGGTTGCACACCTTTATACTCTTGTGAATCCGACGTAAGGAAAAAATACCGAAATTTTCATTAATGATACAAACCACATCCAAATCGCTGGGCCCTGCAAACGTCTCTTTCCAGTGGTGGTCGACCTTCTGAATAATACGTTCAACAAAAGCTTAGAGAAAGATAAAAGAAAAACATACCATTGAATTTCAAGGGTCACATTACCCTTTGTGTCACTGATCACGATGACGTCCAGGACCAACGTTCTCCTTCGCGAACCTACGCCATCCTCCGACAGCGGTCAGGACCGGTATGAAGCCATCTTTACTGCAGAAAACAACATGCCTTTCTCGATTCCAGTGCTCGAGGTCGTGCTCACGAATATCAATGAACTCGCATCCGTAACGGCACAGGGCGATTTCGATGGAGCTGTCATGATCAGCGCACGCTCATGCGAGGCCTGACACAAGGCGAATGGTGCAGCCAAGAACGGTACGTGTCGCATTCACTTTCTTGAATTTTATTCTCAATTTCAGCGACAGAATGTCCGTTCTATGTCGTCGGGAAGACTACCAGCTCGACATTCTCTCAACGTTTGAAGGAGAGACCGACGGGGCCACGGTGGATCGTGTTATTTGCACCGTCTGCTGCTGAATTCATTCTACCCTTTCTGAACGAAGGGTTCGACGTGGATTTAGTGAATATTGCTGTCATTGGACCAACCACGGATTAGTATCAAAGCAATTCAATACATGAAACATTATAGACAAACCTGGAGCATAGGCATTAACAGTAATACCATAATTACCGACCTAGATCCTATGAGAGTGAACTTGGTTATATTCGTGGTTAATGTCCTTGGGCAAAAACCGGCGCACGTTGCTTGCCAGCGATGTGTCAAATCAAATACATGGGCCATCGCAGAAGTACTATATCAACCAAAATGTGAGGATATTTCCAGTGATTGAGCGCCACCTTTACAAACAAACAAAGAGGACCGGCAGATAACGACGGAGTGGGAAACTAGCTTCTCGGATATCTTGAGGCCATAGTGATGCCAAGGTAATACACTGCGACGGCTCCGAATTTCCCAAGCATCCAGAACAGAACTCAAAATCGCGTTCTCGATACCAACACACCAATCTCGGTGGCTCATCCAGTTACCCGGATTATACTCAACATTCCTAAGAGAGACATCACACCTGCATCCTAAACACACCACCGTGTCCCGTTCGACCCTGTCTGCATCAACCCAGGGCTCGCACCTGAGGAAAAGTTGCCTCCGCTGAGCATCGTCCTGGCTGAACCGATAAAGTGGGCTCTCGAACGTCTTCAGGAAGCTCACTTCGGGACCGTTCTGCGACACCAGGAACGTCTCTTTCTGATATATGCTGAGTTTCCGTGCGCGCGGGCTGTGATAAGATGAGCTCTAGCTTGGACTCGGCGAAGAGGCACTGACCAAGATCCTTGCGATTGCGGTTGGAACGGTAATTCTGCGTGGTCAGCAATCATCATTCGAGCAGGGTAGGGGAATCGCCACCTGCACCTTCCGCGGCCACAGCGGCACAGGCGGCTGGTTTGTCTCGATGGTGCGCTCCAGCCTGAAGGCGATCGTGAGGTAGAAGATGTTTCGGGAACAGGTGCTTGAATCTGAACATTCATGGCTGCTCCATATGCTGGTGCCGTATGATTCGTGAAAGATCTCGAGGAATTCGCAGGGACAAGCTGGCTCGCACCAGATTGGTAAGATGACAAAGCCAGAATATGAATGGTGGCACCAGGACTTGTCTTTGTTGCGCGCCTCAGACCCGCCTCCCCTGTCTTTGTCCTCCCACATGCTTTGGCAAAAATATTGTCAAGTAGACGAGTGCGCAGCACGGGATAACAGCTCATAGAGCAACGTTCTAATCTTCGGGAACGCAATATTCTTTGACTCTCTTTGCGATCATCCGGGAATAGTTTTATCTGTCTCATGAGGAATGCCACCCTCGGTGTTCGTCGGCAGCCGGTGCCAATGGCGGTCAGAATTGGCGTGGTCGGATGTAAAACGAGCACGGTCGACAGAAAGAGAATACTCTCCGCAAGGAAGGTGATTGATGTCTCCGTGAGTTCTCTGTTTGAATAAGGGACGGTGGGAAAATACCAGATGTAGTATGCTCGTTGTCGGGTACAGAGACCGGTTTCGACCCCGAGGACAAGAATAGCATGGTATGGCCATGGATGCACCATGGAAAGTTAGATGCAGTATCGATGTCCATGTCAAACTGCCTACCGCACAATTGAATTGGAGCTGGGAAGATAGTCAAACCTAAACATACTAACTACACGCTTTCTCGCTGGTACTCTCAGCTGTATGGCTGCTGGCAGTCGAGAAGGAAGGTGAGGAAGGTTACATTGTAGTTGGGGTTCAAAAACGAGACATTATATCCTGTAGATCGAACTAGGAATGGCGGTCTCGAAAGGTGTGTGAGTCGGAGAGACCGTTATTCTGTTCACGTGTCCGTGACATGTCGCGTCTATTTGTCCTTTTCTTGACGACATTGGTCAACGTCTCGTCTACCACAGCACCGACAGGAGTTTCCAGGGTGCATATAACTTGAAAGAAGGATATGTTTGTCTTGGGACGACAGAGAGAGCGGAACATCGTTCTGGCAAGCGGCAGAAAATGGCTGACAGCGAGACAATAGACAATTCCTTGGGGCTGAAGATACCTCGCCAAGTCTGAGAAGATGGGTGTGCGAAAGGGAAAGAGCAGGCTCACTGGTTTGATTTCGAGCGAATCCATCTGGAAGGTTCATATAAGGATCGACTCGGTCTCACAAGCATAGACCTTACCCTTCATGACGATAAGATATCCACAAAGCTGAGTAAACTATCGTCTGGCATTGGTGAAATCCCTCGGAGCTGCCGCCATGCGACTGCCGACTTTATTTATTACCACAAATGCGACATGTAAGAGGGAGAGGTTACGCGGTGAACTGTTCATGTCTTCTCCCTATCCACGGTCACAGAGAAGAGAAGAGGCAGAGTAATATCTGAATGTCATAGGGATGGGTCAAGGTCGCAATGAGAAATTTTGCACTCGTAGATGCTGGCCTGTGACTGAATGATAAAATATCCTAGGTGTCTGTACTCAATTGTCATTGTCTCTACAGATGTTTAAGATAAAGCGGCATGGAAGGAAACCTGACACACACCTTCACAGAAGCATGACTCAGACCATTAGCTTCAGAAGCATACCTATCCAAACATTGATAACCTTTGCCCAAAGATGTGTGCCTTTCCAATTTCCCATGAGAACATGGTCATCGATGTGCTATGGGTGCACAGGAGAAAGGCTGTACCTTTGTTCCAATGAGCAATGACATGAAGGGTAGCAGTGCAAACTCAGACTATATAGGCTTGAAGAAAATCAGATAGTCAGTGATCTACTGGAATAAAATGAGTTCAAAATAAAACAGTTGGCACAATGAACATTCTGAGTTGTGATGTTTGTTCAAAGTCATGGTATGTAGAGAAGAAAGTTTGGGCTGAATATATAGTGGTTTACCCAAACTATGTCATCTCTATTAGTATCTTCACCTTCCTTGGCTTCATTATCATTGCTATAATATCCCTACCTTCAATTAAATCACAAGCCATGCAGAAACATTGCTGCAGCGATGTAAAACACATTGTGCTGTGGAGATCCTGGTAGTTGTGTTGCAGGATGACACAAGTACCTGATGTCAACCTTATATAAGCATAGACAGTTTTGTCCTGAGTTGACAGTGAACTGCCTTTAAGCAATTGACCATCATACTCAGCCTGACTGTTATTCACTGCATGATAATAACCTGCCTGCAACAGGTTATGGGCCCCATGTTTTAAGGCCTATTTCATTTTTTTTTTTATCTTTGCATCTTGCTTGTGCCCTGCTATCTCTCTATCAGTCACTTCACTACTGAAATGATATCACCACATACATCATGCCATCCTTCAACACAATCAAAAAGGGCTTTGACAACCTAAATGCCTCCAATTATAGCAAGTGGAAAGAAAACATGTCAGCCCTACTCAAAACTTGCCATGAGTACCTTATCACCATTGGCTATGACTCTGAATCAGAGTTTGCAGACCCTGAGAAGCCAACATACCAGGAGAAGAAGGACTGGAAGGACTGGAAGGAGACTCAGGTATTAGCTGCTGGCATAATCTACCTCTGCCTTGATGAATCCCAGAAGGCTCATATCAAGAGCTGCCTTGACAATCCAGAGAGGATGTAGGACACATTAAAGGCACACCATCAGCAAAGAAAACCAGTGACTTGGTTTGTAGCCTATGATGGCTTCTTAAATCTCAAGAAGGAGACAGAAGAGTCACTTCCAGACCTTGCCAGTTGGAGCACTCAAATCATGAGTCATATCCATGCTCTGTGCCCTGCTCATTTTGGCCTTCAGCAGTTAGAAGAAGAGCTTCTTGTTATAGCCCTGATTTATACACTCTCTTAGCCTGAATTTGGAAATTTCATCACATCACTATTTCTTTTCTCTGATAAGCTCACTCTTGAAGGACTCTGCACTGCATTTCACAATGAAGAAAACAATCAGAAGCTGCATGCTGATGACCCAGCAGTCTCTGTTGCTCTTAAAGCCACACCTTTCCATTCAGCCATGAATCCAGCCACTAATGCCACTGCAAAATGTGGATAGTGCCTTCATGAAAATCCTGCAGAGAAAGAGTGTATAACCAAGAAGCTCTCACTTAAACAGGACCATGAATATGCTGCTGACCATACTGCTGGAAAGCATTGTCACAAGGGGGCTGGAAAGAAGGATTCAGAAGCTGCTAACTCTGCTGAGACAAAGAAGGAGACTGCTAGCCAAGCAAGTACTGATTTATCATCATCTGCCATGTCTCATTGAAATACTGATACAGGTGCTTCTCATTATATGACCTCTCACCAACAATGGTTCTGACTCTATGCTCCACATGTCATTCCTATTTGTCTTGCAGACAATTCAGTCATCTATTCAGCAGAGATTGGGTCAGTAGTATTAGAGCCAGAGATTCAGGGAAAGAAAGGCTCAGTGGTGAAACTTTTTGACACACTACATGTACCAGCATTGAAAAGTAATCTCCTATCACTCTATCATCTCACATGGGAAAAGGGATTCAAGATCTCAATTGCTGGATCAGATGTCACTTTCAGCCAGAGTGAAAAGGTTTGATTCACTGCAACTGTAAATAAGAGCAATATTGGCTATGTCAATGCTACCATATATTCATTCTCAAAATCAGCCACTATCATTGCAAACTCAAACTCCACAAGTATCTGCTGGATGGACAATACACTTTGGCATAGATGTTGCTATCATCAAAACATGGACACTATACAGCACATGCACACAAAGCAGCTAGTAACTGGAATGAAGTGAGAGTCAGATCCCTCAACTGATCCTATCTGCACACTATGTCTTGCTGGCAAACAGCATTGCCACAATATTTCTCATGGCCCCCTCAGAGTGGAAGAAACATTTTTTTGAGTGAGTATACAGTGATATCAAAGGTCCAATGCCTGTTGCAACTCCAGAGGGCTATCACTACTGGATAACATTCATCTGCAGTACATCTGACACTTGGGCTGTCACACCTCTGAAGTATAAAAGTGATGCCTTTAATGCCTTTAAGCAGTTCAAAGCATATACAGAAAATATCCATTTAAGACTTGAAATCATTGAGTTTCAAGAAGACAAAGGTGGTGAATATATGAGAAAGGAGTTTATTGACTTCTGTGCTAAGCATGGGATCAAAAGATGACACACTGAACCTGATGAACCATACCAGAATAGCACAGCAGAATGAGCTAATCACATGATTGCAGAGGCCATCACTACTATGCTAAATGAGTCACATCTCCCACTATCATTTTGAAACCTTGCTCTCTGAGTATTCATCTATGTCTGAAATCACATCCCCACAGATCCTCTTCTGAACACCACACCCTTTACAGAATAGGACTCAAATCATTGAAAACCAGATATATCTCACTTTTGTGTGTTTGGATGCCTTGCATATATGCTAGTACAAAGAAAAAGACATTGAGCATTAGAGTCACATACTCAAAAATATATCTTTGTTGGGTATCCAGAGGAAATAAAAGGCTGGCTATTCTGTAACTCTTCGATGAAGTGGTTTATCACCTCCAGCCATGCTGTATTTAATGAGCATGTATTTCCTGAAAACTACAGAAATATTATAAATCCCCTCAGTGATGATACACCTTCCACAAATAGACATAACAGCACAGATACTGCTATATCTGATGCAATGATGCCTCATCAAGAGAGAGAGGACATATCTACTGATAAGCCATCTCTACCATCTGAGCAACTCTCATCATCATCATTCTCACTATCTAAGTCAGCTCCATTCACTCTACCAGATATGCAAACACCTTCAAGATCATCTCTTACTCCACTATCAAGTCTTTCAATATCTCCTACATCCTCTTCACCACTCTCATGTCTTTGAGCATACTTTGAGCCACAATATGACTCCAAAGGCCTTATAATTCCATCTCCAAACACTGGACATGGTTTTCACTATAAACATTCTGGCACTAATGTGATGAACTCATCAGACTCAGATGAACCTGTCTCTGATTCCACTGATAAAACCACTGCTGAGCCAGAGCTTACTGAGACAGATGTTGTTGCAGAAATGACTTTTGTATTGCATGGTGATAACTATATCACATATACAGAAGCTCTTGAGCTCACATTTCAGGCAGCAGTAGAGATGCCAAACCAAGCATCTGCATCCAACAATGAGCCAAAGACACTTGCAGAGGTGATG